AAGGAGGAGGTTTATATGGAACAACCTCCGGGATTCATTGCTTCTGAGGGAGCTGATCTAGTTTGCCGCCTCAAACGTTCATTGTATGGGTTGAAGCAGTCCCCACGTGCTTGGTTTGGACGGTTCAGTGAAGTTATACAAAAATTTAACATGATTCAAAGTAAAGTTGACCATTCTATATTTTACAGAATCCAAAAAGGTCTTAATATCTATCTTGTGGTTTACGTGGATGATATTGTGATCACGGGTGATGACGTAAAGGGAATAAAACTTCTTAAGAAGCATTTATTTCAGCATTTTGAAACAAAAGATCTTGGCAAATTGAGATACTTTCTTGGTATTGAAGTTGCACAGTCAAAACAAGGTGTGTACATATCACAAAGAAAGTATGCTTTAGATATTCTTGAAGAAGCTGGTATGACAAACTGTAAGCCAACTGATACGCCGATGGATCCTAATGACAAGCTTCTACCGGGACAGGGGGAGCCTTTATCAAATCCTGGTAGATATAGAAGACTTGTTGGAAAACTTCTTTACCTCACTATTACACGTCCTGACATCTCATTTGTTGTAAGTGTCGCAAGTCAGTTTTTACAATCACCGTGTGAGAGCCACTGGAATGTTGTTACTCGCATCTTAAGATACATTAAACAAGCACCAGGTATAGGGTTGTTATACCAGAATCACGGACACACAGAAATTGTGGGCTATACTGACGCAGATTGGGCTGGATGCCCATGGGATCGAAGATCCACCACAAGTTATTGTATACTTTTGGGTGGAAACTTGATCTCTTGGAAGAGTAAGAAACAAGATGTGGTGGCACGATCAAGTGCAGAAGCCGAATATCGTGCGATGGCTTTTGGATCATGTGAGCTAATTTGGGTTAAAAATCTTCTTTCCGAACTCAATTTTTGCAAATTCAGACCCATGAGGTTGATATGTGATAACCAAGCAGCCCTACACATTGCAACGAATCCAGTTTTTCATGAAAGAACCAAACATATAGAAGTGGACTGTCATTTCGTTAGAGACAAGATCAAATCTGGAGACATCATCACCACTTTTATGAATTCAAAGGATCAATTGGCAGATGTGCTCACTAAGCCTCTTAGAAGACCAAGAATAGATTATATATGTAGCAAGCTTGGAGCCCATGATATATATGCTCCAGCTTGAGGGGGAGTGTTGGAAATAACATTTAAAGCATATGCCTTTTTATATTCCAGACTTTCCAGCAGCTTGACTTTTCATTTTCCTTTATGACTTTCAGTTTTCTTTTGTCCTTTAATGTATCATTTACTTCCTTATTCCCTATATATATGGGAGTCATAATGTATGATTGCATATGAGAAATACAAGAAGGCTTCTCTTCCTAAATCAACAAAACGGATTAATAGCACTACTCATACCAACAAGGTGCATCTCCTTTTAAGGGAGCTCATTAGCCAAGAACTCTAAAGTTAAGCGTGCTTGCACGGGAGTAGTCTTGGGATGGGTGACCCTCTGGGAAGTTTTTCAGGGCGTGCATGAGTGAGGAAAAAGTGCGCGGAAAAGGCTAGAGGCGGTTTGTGAGGACAGTACTAGAGGTCAGAAGTAACTACCTCAGGGCCTACGGGGCCGGGGTGTTACACCGATGATCCTGATGAAGAACGGGTTATCCCCTAGGATTAGTTGGTTTTCGCTCAACCATCTTCTCACCGGTCCTTCGTGCTGCCCTTGGGTCTTATGTTGCGCGACGCCGATGATCATGATGAAGAACGGGTTCATCCCCTAGGATTCATTGGTTTTCGCTCAACCATCTTCTCACTGGTCCTCTGTGCTGCGCCTGGGTCTTATGCAATGCGAGGCCGATGATCTTGATGAAGAACAGGTCTATCCCCTGGGATTCCCTGGTGCCCCTCTCCTTTTTTTGAGGGATCTTCGTTTTCGCCCAACCATCTTCTCACCGGTCCTCCGTGCTGCCCCTGGGTCTTATGTTACGCGAGGCCGATGTTCTTGATGAAGAACAGGTTGATCTCCTAAGATTCGCTGGTTTTCGCTCAACCATCTTGTCATCGGTCCTCCGTGCTGCCCCTGGGTCTTATACTGCGCGAAACCGATGTTCTTGATGAAGAACGGGTTGACATCCTAGGATTCACTGGTTTTCGCTCAACCATCTTCTCATCGGTCCTCAGTGCTGCCCCTGGGTCTTATGCTGCGCGAGGCATATGATCTGGATGAAGAACGGGTTTACCCCCTAGGATTCGCTGGTTTTCGCTCAACCATCTTCTCATCGGTCGTCCTTGCTGCCCTGGGTCTTATGCTGTGCGAGGTCGATGATCTTGATGAAGAACGGGTATCCCCTGGGATTCCCTAGTTTTGGGCATTATGTCTCCCTCTTCCCCCATTTTTTTGGGAGGAAGGAATTTTGTATGATGATTTCATTGAAAGATAACTGCGCATTTTTGCGTTCTTGAATTAATTTGAATGTGCTCCTGATTAAACTTTTAGCTGAAATTTGATATGAGTAAACTAGACTTGATGAATAATACGCTCAAAAAAATTCATCAAGAAATTCCACCGGGGACCGAATAGAGACTCCTATAGAAGGACTTAATTGACTTTTTTATGAAAGTTCGAGGACCTATTTGACAGTTTTCCCTTTAAATAAATATGCTTTAACTTTTTTATATCTAGCACTTCTTGAATCTCGGTCTTTGATTCATCCCCAACCTCCTGATTCTGGATCCTTATACGGTTCTACCTGCCCTGGTTATCAATGGCTTTTGTTTGCCCCTGTATAGTCTCTCCCTGTTCCTTTCTCTCCTACAAGCCATTTATTGCCTATAGGCGGACGAGCTCTTCCCACCCCCGCCCTTAGCCACGGGCCAAAATGTTTCACAGCCACTAAATCACCCTTGTCATACAGAGACGGAAAAAAATTTTCAGCGTGTCCAATGACTCCACATGCAAAGCAAAAGTTGGGGAGTTTCTCATACCTGAAATCTACCCAATAGTCCTCCCCTTCCTCTTTTTCAATGTCGTACCTACCTTCAGAGGTTTCTTCACATCCAAAATAACCCTAATCCTCATATAGGCTTCCCATTTATCATCAAATTGCTTATCATCCCAAGATATAAATTTCCCCAAATAGTTCCCGATTTTACGAGCATATCCCAAATTTGAAACGCCATAAGGTATATTATGAACCTGAACCCAAAATTCAGCCTTATCTAGTAGGATTTCTTGAGGCATATCACCCTGCTTAATAGCTTTTAGCACTAACAAGTTCTTGTCAAACAGCTAGGGTCCATTATTCAATACATGATTCATATCAATTTTGTGGTAAAAAGTGAAAAGATATCTTTTCTCACCAATTTCCTGAATCAGCACACCTTTTCCAGGGCGCCAGAGAGACGCCATCAGATCACGAAAAAATTCAAACTTCACCACTTTGTCTGTGAGAATTGTACCGACCACCGGAGAAACCTCCGCCTCCTTGCTCGCCGCTTCGTGTTCGCCTTCGTCGCTCTCCTCATCGTCCAGCAGCAGTTCGTTCTCTGTGTTCTCCAATCCCAACCTATTTGCGTATGGCAGCGCCACTCCCTTTGGCAGCATCGACTAATTCGGAACTTAATCCTCGTACTGATCAGCCAACCTCTCCACACTCTTTTCACCGAAATCCGCCACATCCTCCCCCTCGCCACCGAGGGTTCCCCCTCCTCGCCGATGATCCCCTTCGCGGGCTGTGGCCTGGTTCTATCACTCCCCTGGATTCTCGATTGCTTACTTGCGTACCATAGCGATGTGGGCGAAGTCATCTCGCCGTTGCGAAGCCGCACTCCTTCGGCGGAAAGCTCTCAAAACCTTACGAGAGGGAAGACCGCTTTATAGTTAAAAAAACTTGACAAATTCAAGAATGAAACATATGACATCTTTCCTACGATTTTTAATATTTAGAGTATCATGTTTCAAAACTTAACCCTCAAGTAAAACAAAACGTATAAAATTTTACTCCGTATATAGTTCAAAAAACTTGACAATTCAAGAATGAAACATTTGAAATCTTTCCTGTGGTTTTTAAAATATTTAGATAATCGTGACCGGATCGATTGCACACATTGCATACTCACACATGTTACACAATCCTCCGGTGATAACCCCAAATCCCCAACCTATGCTATTAACTCCGCTTGAAATAGGAGTAAAGAGTATATACTATGTTGCATTTGACATTCGTAAGTACATAAACTCGGGTTTTAGTGTTAATTAAGTACACTCGTTAAATTAACACGTTTATATGACTGAGTTGGTTAACAAAATGCTAAGTAAGAAAGGGTAATCGATCACGGTTATGGCAACAATCTTCAGAAAGTCAACCAAAAAGGGAGAGTTGGCCTTCGAAGGTCGATCTGCGAGGGGCGTTGACCTACGGAGGTGCATTGAACAAGGGTAAGTCGACATGCGAGGGACTGACGTTGACCAAGGGAAAGTCAATCAAGGGATCGAGGGCTAACATCGACCTTCAAGAAATCAACCTATTAGCATGTTGTTAGCCAAGTCAGACGAATTAACGTGTTAATCTACCTTATACAAGTTGATGTACTCGACTTACCACTGAAAAACGAGTTTGTGTATTTAAAAATACAAGATGCAATATAGTGTACTTTTTACTCTACTTTATACAAGTTGATGTACTCGACTTACCCTTTCCTAATTGAAATAGGTTTCAAAACCTTCTAGGTTGTCTCGAAAGTATTTAGTAGATCCAAAGGACCGTAAGATTTGGCTCTTATATAGGGTTTCCCAGGAAGAAGAAAATTTTCACTACTAGCCTCTCATCTTTGAACTGCACCACGAAAGAGGATCACAATTGGTTGGTTTCAGTACAACTCATTTCTATTGTCTACACTCTATATGTGGCTGTGGTCTCAGTTACATAAACACATATAATAGGGGTGACCTTTGCTTCACTTTTACTAGGAGAACTCTAGTGATGAAACAACAAGCATAGAAAGTAAGATTTAATAACACTTGGTTGTCATTAGAGAAAGAACTGTGTCAAATAAATCACTTCACACACAAGCCTTTCAGAATTTCAGTTCTATCTTGATGCCCCCCTTGAATAACAATAACCTTCTTATATCACTACATATAAAAGAGTTAATGCAGACGGTCTAAATTAAAAAACCGTCAAGAAGACGGCGCTGCGAGTACAAGATGGTTGATGACAAACTGAAATTTGTCTGAGTTGATTGAGATCCAGCAAGCAGGTCATGTCAGGTATGTCACCTCCCCCCACCCCTACAGACTCGACTTGTTGTCGAGATCATCAAAATAGCGATGCTCCATAGCTTTCTTTGCTGAAATTCTTCTTGATGGTTCATAGTGCAGCATCTCCTGCATCACAAAATACATTATGCACATTGTCACTATTTTTAGTTTTGTTATAAAGGCAAGTTGAAGGCTTGAAAATACAAAGTTTTTTTAAAGAAAACTGACCGCCAGAAGATTAAGGCCATCTTCATCCAGATTGGGGACAGCAGATGAAAGTGGTTGGGGTTTCCATTGGGGATATTCATGCCAGTTCACCAACTTGCTCACCCCTGGCCATACTTCTTCATTTGGTGTACCCAGCAATCTATGTGCATAAGTAAATAAATTAGTCCAATATGACTTCCAAGAAAATACTCCGTACATATAATAATAAGTAGCAGCAGAATTTTAAAATGAGAAAAACGATCTTCTGAACCTGAAAATGTGCAGTAGCTGCTGCAACTCAGAATCTCCAGGAAAGAGTGCACGTTGAGTGATTAGCTCAGCTAAAATATTAGAGAAATGAGAACGTTTAGCAAATTATATACAAACCAGCAAGTGTATATTTAGCAAACTCTATCTATCAAAAGGAATAATACAATGATTATTTTACCGAATATGCAACCAACAGACCACATATCAACTGCTGTTGCATAGTGAGTGGCACCCAGAAGAACCTCAGGAGCTCTATACCAGAGGGTCAATATCTGTAGCAGAGTGAGGAATTATATCTTATCATTTCTAGTTTTTGAATTGTTAGTAGTCTTTAAAAAATGACATGTGTTTCCACCACACCTCATGAGTGTACTTCTTGATAGGCAGAGTGAATGCTCGGGCAAGCCCTAGATCAGCAATTTTAAGCATTGATGTCTTCCGGTCCATCAGTAGATTGTGGGGCTTCAAATCTCTGCAGCGGGAGTTGAAATAAGTAAAGCAACTGCTTAAATTATTTCCGTCTTTGCCACATACCAAGTCACATATAAGAAGGCCTTGAGTTTTACCTGTGCAAAACACCACGGCCATGGCAGAAAGCCATTCCTTTGCAAAGCTGGTAAAGCAAACTCTGTATTCAAGTATCCACAATTCATCAGATATATCATATATATATATATATATATATATATATATATATATATATATATATATATATATATATATATATATATATATATATATATATATACACACACACACACACATACTTCGTACATAACATACTTCGTGTGTATATATACAGTAAACAATGAGCCAACTCAGTTAAGCCATATCATAACAGTGACAGACGGACCGACCTTAATAGTTTGGGGGTGAATGTTTTCTCCAGTCTGACGGAAGCTGCGGATAAATTTCTTCAGGTCCATGTCCATATATTCAAACACCAGATAGAGAACCGTCTTTCCTTCCTTATTTTGTCCTTGTTTGACATCAATCAATCTGCTTGTCCAATGAAGTAAGGACACAAACTCAAATTATAACAGGCATATGTGTACAGACATAAATATAGATACTCAAAGGATATCCTTGATAATTCATTCCCTAAATCTCTCTACGACTCTACCCACCTAAATCTTATTCATAAGTTCCATTGACAGGTATAAATTTGACGTCTGTAAAAGATGATGATGATCCTAAGAGGCGAAAACACTCGTAGATTCACTAAATCGAAAAGGAAACTCATCTTAATGCGTGTTTTGCCATATTTCAATAGTAACACAAACCGAGACCACTAATTAGCAGAATCATTTCAACAACGAGAGAAGGAAAACAATAATTAGATATAATAACTCTTAGATGCGGCCGAGAAGAGAAAGGAGAAACGATTACTTGACAATATGCCTATCCCGAGAGAGCATACGCAAGAGTGAAATCTCGCGAAGAGTGGTGGGAGGGACACCTTCTTCGTCCTCTGGAAGCCTGGTCTTCTTCAGGGCCACAATCCTTCCAGTCGCCCTCTCTCTCGCTCTGTAAACTTTCCCGTAAGTCCCTTCTCCCACTTTCTCAAGCTTCTCGAATAATTCCATCGCCGACGTCCCTGCTCCGAGAGTTTTTTTGCCACCGTCAACGGTCATCACCGCAATAGCACCGTTGGTCTCCATCCTCGTTCTCTCTCTCAGATTGTCCCCTTCCCTAATCTCTCCGCCCAGTTCTGTCACAATCTGGGATCTGGCATATACGCTATATAGCCGTCCGCGAGGAAGGAATGGTAGATCTTTTGTTAACGGCAACTTTTTGAATTTCAAAACTCAAAAGTGACGCGCTTCATTTCCATTACATACCCTTGTAAATTGGAAGCCCACTATGTGATGAGAATGGACCCAAATTTTACTATGTACTATCGTATTAGTAACATGGCCCAGTAAAATACTTAGGACTTGGGCTTGTAAATGAATAAAATATGTTAGACCACTCTAATTTGACTACTACAACAACAACATCCAACCTTTAATCCCAAAAGAATTTGGGAGCGAGTGTTTGAGCAAAGACTTCGAAAAAGTATGAATAAGTTTTGTTTTATGTCTGGACGCTCAACAGGTAACTCACCTTCTTAGATAAGTTTGGTTTTATGTCTGGACGCTCAAAAACTGATTGCAAGAGACCACAACGGTGAGCTTATCTGAGTGGAGTGGGAATCTCATGTAGCAGACTGATCGGCAAGCATTACGGAGGCACTTGGTGTTCGAGCGACACTTATATGGGCAAATAATCAAGGATGTAATCAGATCGTGCTCGAGACAGATGCACGTTGATCATGACAAGGTTGGAAGAAAATTCAAGAATTTCTTATTGATGGAGTATATGGCCCAGGAACCCCCCCCCCCCCCCCCCGACCCACATACTTCCACTATTACATTCAGGCCCAACAGGCCCAAGACGGGCCAAGCCTAGCATAATGAAGCTATAGGCAGCCCACGAGGCATGAGGGGGTGCCTTCGGTCCCATAGCCGAAGGCCACCAACGACAGAATAGGGCTCAGAAACATCGCAGGAGAACAAGGCTTAAAAACCAAGCCTTCAGCACTAGGAGCCCTCGGCAATATGGGCCCCGGCACGAAGAACCTTCGGCATGTCATCTACAGTCGAAGGCATCCCATTCGACAGGATCTCCCATCCACATGTGATGGATCAACGTACCAAGTACAAACGTCACATCCAACCACCACATTTAATGCGGCCACATGTGAATGCCAATGCCACCCTGGTTGAGGTGACCCCTCGACCACCAGATTGTTGACACGTGTCCCTATCTAGCATTTATTGCTGCTATAAATAGCACCCCTTTCTCCATTTGTAAACCACCTTCAATACAACTCGAATACACACTTGAACTCTTTATCTCTCTTACTTATTTGCTCTGACTTCTCTCTAAGTTACTCCCCACAGTAACCCCTCGGATAAGCTACCCCCGGGTACACTATCCATCATTTGGTGCTCTCGTTGAGAGCCGAGGGCTTTGGGGAACCCGTCATCCAACTCCGAACTAGGACGCCATTTACCCCAAGGGTATTGGCGGCCCGAATTCCGGAAAAATACCGGGGGCAACCCATCAAGCCCTATGAAAGAAAGACGGATCCCCAGGAGCATTACAGCAGATATCAGAACAATATGATGATGGTGGGGGCATGGAACGAATATTTGTGTCGTTGGTTCCTCTCCACCTTAGAGAGACCATCATACTAATGGTTCAACCGACTGCCAGAAGGCTGCATCGATTCATGGCAGGAACTCGCCCAACGTTTCTTGACGCAGTTTGCAGGGAGGCGCCGATCAAGAAAACATTTCTCCCACTTGCTGACGGTGAGACAACGAAAGCAGGAGACCCTTCGGGGCTTCTTGGAACGTTGGAGGACGGAGGCGGATAAAGTTGACGGCGCTGACGATGGGACCCTCCTGGCCCTCCTTCAAACAGTCCTCCGCCCCGGGAACTTTACAAGAAGCCTCATCATCGAACCTCCCCGCGATTACATAAGGGCCCTACAGCGGGGGGACCGGTACGCCGAGGCTGAGGAAGTGGAAAAATGTCATCACAATCCCGATCAGCAACGCCCTCGGCCAGATGACAAGGGAAACCGGGGGCCGGGGGCTCCCCCAAATCAATCCAAAAGCTCGACGCCCCCCGGTGATCGCCCCCGGCATGGCTAAGCCAAGCCCGGGGAGGTTACAAGGGCAACCCGAAGGCTTGGTCCCAGCCCATTCTCTTGGAGCACCCTCGGACGCCCTTGACACACCCCGTTAGTGTCATCCTAGACTTCGCCGAGGAGAGGGGCCTAGTTGAGCGCGACACTCGCGCACCCCTAGAGGTATATGCCATTAACCCCAATTATCCTTACTGTCGGTTCCATCGCAACCAAGGGCACAGGACCGACGACTGCCATCAGCTGAAGACGGCCATTGAGAGGTTGATACAGACAGGCCACCTATCTCAATTCATTAGAGGCTCTCCTCCCCAGGGAGCCCCTCACTACCAGGGGCCCCCTAAGAAAGCAAACGCTTGGGTCAACCCAAACACCATCCCCCTCGGCGACCCGAAGGGTAAGAAAAGGGATATTGGGAACCTCGATGAGGAGGAAGAGTACAGCCAGTACCAGGAGAAGAAGCGCCACATCCACATGATCACTGGCGGCAACACCGGAGGCGACTCCACGAGCCAAAGGAAGAAGTGGACTCAATCCCTCTACGTAGGGGAAGTCAACCATATACCCCAACCAAGAGGCCGAGGGTGGATCCCATCTATTTCACATATGAGGATCTGCCCTCGGGTGCCCTTCCTCACAGGGATGCCCTCGTCATCCGAACGGAGATCAATGACACCATCATCCTCCGGACCTATGTTGATACCGGAAGCTCCATCAACGTGATGTATCTCATCACTTTCCGAGAGCTTGAACTTGATATGGGATCCCTTCGGCATATCAAGACCCCCCTCTCTGGTTTCACTGGGGACAGCATCGACGCCGAAGGCGTTATCACCTTATGGTTGAGTTCAGCGATGGGTCCCATAGAGCCAAGCTCGAAGTGGAATTCGTCATCGTCAACCTCGACTGTGCACATAATATCATCCTCGGCCGGCCCGCCCTTGAGGACTTGGAAGCCGTCATCTCTATGAGGCACCTCTGCCTCAAATTCCCCACACCTACCGGCATCGGCTACTCCAGGTTGAATCAAAAGCTCTCTCGGGCTTGCTACCTTCAACTCACCAAGAAAGTAAGTAAAACTGAACTTCGCATTGACACAATCACCGCCGCCTTGGATGGGGAGGAAGGCAAGCCGAGGGCTGAGCCTGCCGAAGACACCGAAGACTTTTTACTCGATCCGGCCAAGCCGGAGAGAGTCTTGAAGATTGGAGCCAAACTCCCCGAAGACTTGGAGACCGGCATAACTGAAGCCCTCCGCGCCTACTCCGTTGTTTTTGCATGGGGGCCGGCGGATATGCCAAGGATCCACCGAAGGGTCATCACTCACCGCCTGGTGGTAGACCCTTCGGCCAAACCAGTACAGCAGAGAAGAAGGCCCCTCTCGGCCGAGAGAAGGGACTTTGTCAAGAAGGAGGTCGCAATGCTCCTCTCCATCAAACATATCAAGGAGGTGAAATATCCTTCGTGGTTGGCTAATGTGGTACTAGCACAGAAGCCACCCACCTTCGGCATGTGTGTGGACTACACTGACTTGAATAAGGCATGCCCAATGGACCCCTTCCCTCTACCAAATACTCCCTCCGTCCCTTAAAAATTTGCCATCTTTCCTTTTTGGGACGTCCCAAAAAACTTTGCCACTTTCCCTTTTAATCATAAGTTTTTACTTTATTATTCTCCGTGTCAGTCAACTTTGGCAAAGTTTTAAGGGACGGAGGTAGTATTGATCAGCTGGTAGATGAGACCGCGCGATGCGAAATCATGTCATTCCTCGATGCTTTCCGCGGGTACCATCAAATCTATATGCATGAAGAGGATGCCGAAAAAACAGCCTTCATGACACTCGAAGGCATCTTTTGCTATCTTGTGATGGCCTTCGGCCTCAAGAATTCAGGTGCCACCTACACCTGTATGGTGGCCAGAGTCTTTCAAGCCGTCTTGGGACGTACCATGGAGGCCTATGTTGATGATATGATCGTCAAAAGCAAGAAATCAAACACCCACGCCGAGGACCTCCGGGAGATATTCGCCATCATGCAGAAATTCAACCTTTGGTTGAATCCAAAGAAGTGTACCTTCGGCGTGCAAGGGAGGGAAGTTTCTTGGCTATATGGTTAGCCGAAGGGGTATTGAGGCCAACCCTGAAAAAATTCAAGCCATCATCAATATGCAGCCCCCACGCAACATGAAGGAGGTTCAGAGATTGACAGGTCGCCTGGCGGCCCTCAACCGTTTTCTCTCCAAATCAGCAGAGAAGGCCCTCCCCTTCTTCCAAATCATGAGGAAGACAGCAGGCTTCCAATGGACAACTAAGTGTCAAGGGGCCTTCGACGAGCTCAAAAAGTACCTCTCTTCTCCTCCTATGCTCTCCAAGCCCAAGGTAGGGGAGACCTTATATCTATACCTTGGCGTCAGCCCTGCAGCCATCAGCTCAGTACTCATCCGGGAGGAAGATGACGTCCAACATGTCATCTTCTATGTTAGCAAGACCCTCAGGGAGGTAGAACTCAGGTACTCCCCCGTGGAGAAAACGGTACTAGCCATTGTTTGGACTGTCAAGAAGCTAGGCCACTACTTTCAAGCTCACCCGGTCCAAGTGCTCACACATCAACCCCTCGGCGCCCTTGTGAGGAGTCCCACCAGCTCCTCCAGAATGGTAAAATGGTCTATCTTCCTCAGCCAGTACAACATAGACATCTGTCTGAGGCCTGCCATCAAGGGCCAAGCCCTGGCAGACTTCGTCAAAGAATGCACCGCGAGATCAGCGATGAATGAGGAGCCCTCGGCCCCTCTAGATGAATGGTGGACCCTCTATACCGACGGCTCCTAGGCCACCAAAGCATGCGGAGGGGGAGTAGTTCTCATAACACCCGAGGGCTTCCGCGCCTATTATGCCATCCGCTTCTCCTTCAAAGTGTCCAACAATGAAGCCGAATATGAGGCCCTCCTCTGTGGCCTTCGGCTGACGGGAAATATGAAGGACAGAATGATCCACGTCAAGTGTGACTCCAAGCTTGTCGTGGGCCAAATCTCCGGAGAATATAAGGCTAAGGAAGGAAGGATGAAACAATACAAAGAGGCGGTTAAAGAATTGTTTAAGGTATTTGAGGCAC